TACATACATATATCGATATTTATTATACAGTATATGATTCTTCCAGTAGTATTATCCAATTTTATCTGTGTTTGAATAAAATTTAAAAAGACTTTATTTTAAGAATAAAATTTAATAAGATTTTACGTGCATAAAAATCAAACTATTTCCATCACACACATCGCTTGCGAGATTTTTAACTTTACTATTTCCTATCATTTGATAACATCGATCATTTACGATGTAACAGAGATGCAATAAAATATATATTAATTAAAAAGAGAATAATGAACTCTAGTATAAATAATATGTGCAATAGAAATATATTAATAAAGCAAAGGTAGTGATACACACTTTTACAAGAAATAATATAAATAAGTTATAATTACACGAGGAAATAGCGTTCTATGTACACTGTGTGACTAATTGCTAGAAATTATGATCGAACTTAGATCTTAATCACTCGTTAACGAATACCGAGTCGTCAACACTCGGTCTAATTGCTATCATTAATTATTATACGGCCCTGTTAAGTAGCTATTAAACGATTATACATGATAAAAAAGAAGCTTAGCATTTTATTGCACAGAATTTTGTAATGATATCAGATCAAATTAACACATCGCGTTTTCGCGAAATTTAAGAAAACTCAATTGTTTGTATAAAATCATATATATTATAGGAATTTTATCCGAGAGCGACAATTTTGAATTTGATTCGTAAATACTTTATTCTATGATTTCACGGTTTACAAATGGTGCAATTGAGAAGAGCGATAAAATCATATAAAGCACACGCATAATGACGTCGCTCGGGGCGCCGAAAGTAATTGACTATCATCTGCGAAAAACCAGTCAAGTCATACGTTGTCAAAATCGAATTACATTCACGCGTGATTGCGTATTACGTCCATTAACATTATTATACCCGTTCATAACCGAGAAAAATATCATCGCCATCAAAAAAAAAGAGGGAAGACAGAGAAAAGAAAATAAAGAGAAAATGCGTTAGGTATCATAATCAATGCTCGAAATACAAATGAAACATATCGTGATGTTATTTTCAAAGCGGTGTTTTTTAAAAATTAAACCTTTCCTATGACTCGAGTTTGTCGGATAATAATCAATTATTATAATCAATTATTATCAATTATTATTTTTACGCAAAGAAATCTTCGTACCAGCAAATTTGAGAATTTTCGTTGATATAAATGGCACTTTGTTAGAGTTCCTAAACCACTTGATAATACGTTTGACGTTTTTTATAAGCAAATCATTTTCACAGGTTGACACGTCAGATTACTTTCTTGTCGATTTAGTCGCGGCACGGGTTCGTCAGTTTTTCTTGCCCGCTATCTACGATGTTCATAAGAAAATGCACGAAGCAAATCGAAGGATTAACGCGATAATTCATTGCAACCGTAGATGGAAGCAACGCGGGGAAACGAGATGAATTATCGAATGAAAATTAATTGGGGGACCGATCAGAATAAATTAAAATTTATTTCGACCTAATCTTCGAAGATAATCATTTTTACAAAGTAATTTAATTCCATTCTGTATCATTATACGTTTTTGATACACGACTTTTGAAGTCGCGCCGTTCGCCGACGGTATACTGCAAAATTGCAGCTTCAAATTGTTGGAAATTTGCAAAGAAGAACATCTAAAATTCACAAAATTCTCGCACTTGTACTCATTGTAAAATAATACGACACGTGCCTCTCAATTAATTAAAACATTTTAAATTTATCATAATTAAAAATTTATTGCAATTAAAAAAAATATTAATTCTAAGAATTAAAAATTATTCAGCAGATTATATGATTCAAAGCTTAATCAAAATAAATTTTATAACAAAAATAAATTCCACGAATTATAGTTTTAATATATTAGACACGCACGTGATTATATTGCTTATTTGTACGTTCAAAGTAAACGATATACGTGGAAATGTAACATGTGACGCGAATACGATAATTTTCCTTTGAAAAATCAAGTTCATTGCCACCGTGCGATTATCCAGGTATTAATCTTCATCTGCGGGCACTTACGACGTTATTATTGTACCGGGTATGAGTATAATCAACATCGCAAAAAAAGAAAGAAGTTATTCCAGGTTTTTGTACTCTACAACAACAGTATTAAAGACGGAATTTACCATATCGAATAATTGATCATTGAGATAATATATTTGTTTCCTTCTCAAATGAGAATGCAAAAATAAAACGCAAAAAACGAGAATGCAAAAAAAAACGATATTAGATCGTTAAATGATAAATTATTTCTTCGTAACGCATCAAATTATATCGCAAAATCGCCAAGCTAATTTGTCACGTATTGATCTTATAAATAATGTCATACAGCATACTAGGTAATATTTATTTCTTTCAACAATAATTTAATAATTTAAGATGCAATATCAGTACGCAAATCGCTATTTTGTCGCGAATATAATGAATGATGTGAATGAAATGTAAGATAAATAACAGCATAGTAGATAATATGCAATTTTTTTACGCAAGACATGATCCTTTTATCGCAAAAACCTCATTTTCTTAAGAGCGAATATTTTAAAAACTATTATTTTTAAATATATCATTGCTAAATGTTTTAGAACTTGTATGGAATGTAAATTTCAATAAATTTGTGCATAATTTATCTAAAGATAACTCAAGATTTCCTAGTGATAACTGTGTTCAAAATCAAAACAATTTTTCTTGGAATAACTTTCACTGCGGAAAATACGATAAATCATTTACCATTTACATTGTACATTTGTTCTGATACGAGTTTACATTACAAGCCACTGTATTCTATACAACACGAGCAAATTTTTGTAGAATGAAATTTTTGTACAACTATAATCGCAAAAAAATCTATAACGCGAATTACCGCGAAAGCTAATATAAAACCAGTTTATGTGTACATTCTCCAATAAGATCGAAATAATTTTTGTTTACATTCCTAAGGTTCTCGGCGAGGGGCGGTAATATTTTGCCTCGTTTACCCGTCGTCGTATAAATGTCAGGAAGGAGAAATACCGCACCGCTCGCAAACGTGCGATCAGCAACAATTCGGCCGAAAAGTAAACGGGATCAAAAGCACCACAGCAACAATAGCAAAAATAAACTATTCTTTATCGTATGACAAAGCATTGTTTATCGTGTAATAAATATATGCTGAAAAGTGATGAAAGATTCATATTGATTAAAAAATATTTATGTAACGATTTTTCATTATGTGATGATCTTATAAGCAAATATTTGACAAAATATTTTCATTTATCGCAAAAATTTTGAAAACAATGATACACTATTGATTATATGAATCTTCTTTAAAAATCGCACCTAAAATTAATTTATACGTATTATTTGATATTAAATTTAGAAAAATATTTATTTTTATATTTTACGTACGTCATTTTTATCCGTTCAATTTGCAAAAGTATTTATCATTGTAATTAAATATATTAATTATTAATTGTCTCTAAATTTTCGTTATAAGAAAATTGGTATTGAAAATAGAAATATTATGAAAATTTAAAATACAATAAAAACGAAGTAGGTCTCTTGCTTAATTTTTATATAATTTACTTGGTAATTCAATTCTTTCCTAATTCATCCACAACGATTTCAATTTTCAAAATCGCGATTTATCCAATGTTTAATTTTACTTTATCTATATATATTCGGACATGTATCTGATTTCAAGATTCGGCACGCAAATTAAATATTAACATTAAACTTTATTAATTGTCTCTAAATTTTCGTTATAAGAAAATTGGTATTGAAAATAGAAATATTATGAAAATTTGAAATACAATAAAAACGAAGTAGGTCTCTTGCTTAATTTTTATATAATTTACTTAGTAATTCAATTCTTTCCTAATTCATCTGCAACGATTTCAATTTTCAAAATCGCGATTTGTCCAATTTTTAATTCTACTTATCTATATATTCGGACATGTATCTGATTTCTAGATTCCGCACGCGAATTAAATATTAACATTAAACTTTATTAATTGTCTCTAAATTTTCGTTATAAGAAAATTGATATTGAAAATAGAAATATTATGAAAATTTGAAATACAATAAAAAACGAAGCAGTTCTCTTGCTTAATTTTTGCATAATTTACTTGGCAATTCAATTCTTTTCTAATTCATCTGCAACGATTTCAATTTTCAAAATCGCGATTTGTCCAATTTTTAATTCTACTTTATCTATATATTCGGACATGTATCTGATTTCAAGATTCCGCACGCGAATTAAATATTAACATTAAACTTTATTGTCTCTAAATTTTCGTTATAAGAAAATTGGTATTGAAAATAGAAATATTATGAAAATTTGAAATACAATAAAAACGAAGTAGGTCTCTTGCTTAATTTTTGCATAATTTACTTGGTAATTCAATTCTTTCCTAATTCATCTGCAACGATTTCAATTTTCAAAATCGCGTTTTGTCCAATTTTTAATTCCACTTATCTACATATTCGGACATGTATCTGATTTCAAGATTCCGCACGCGAATTAAATATTAACGTTAAACTTTATTAATTGTCTCTAAATTTTCGGTATAAGAAAATTGGTATTGAAAATAAAAGCATTATGAAAATTTGAAATACAATAAAAACGAAGTAGGTCTCTTGCTTAATTTTTGCATAATTTACTTGGTAATTCAATTCTTTCCTAATTCATGTACAACGATTTCAATTTTCAAAATCGCGATTTGTCCAATTTTTAATTCTACTTTATCTATATATTCGGACATGTATCTGATTTCAAGATTCCGCACGCGAATGAAATATTAACTTTAAACTTTAAAGACCCGAGACTACGCGAAATCAAGTTTCGCGTTTTCAACATATATTTATCATCAAGCTGGTAGTAAGATCTTCATCTCGCGTTGACGTTGCACGCGATCTTTATATTCGACGAACGAAGAGGGTAGCCAAAAATGACTGCACTTATCGTATATAAACCCGCAAAAACAATAAAAAGGTACATAAAATCGCTTACCTTGCTCTGGACGTAGTCGAGGGCGAGCATGCAGTCCGAGTATCCGCTCTCAGTCTTGATCGTGGTCGCACCCTGGCCCGGCCCGGTCGAGCAGAACCCGGAACCAACCACGCCGACAGGCCCGCCGAGGCCAGCCGCGGCAGCGGCCGCGACGCTGTCCCGGTACCAGGGATACATGAGTTAATCTCGACGAGCACTACTTACGCAAACTTTGTTCGTCCCGCCTTCTCGACAGATTCGACACTTTCCGACACGTCACGTTTCCTGTGTACGCCTTTACGCGTGTATGCGATATATATGTATACGTTATATCCTCCTCTCTCAACTTTCTCCAACTATGCAGCGCGCATACGATGCACCTCGCCGGCGATGATATCACTGCACCGCGAACGTCGCGATATATCGCGCGCGGCCACCGCGCTCGCGCACTAACCGTTCGACTCGCGAGAGCTTTCGAGAGAATCGAGAGGATCAGCGGCATTCGAGTAACCGCGACGCGAACTCCCCGGCCCGGTCGCCCCAACGCCAACGGAAGTCGCGTGCCGCGCGTTCCTTCGTCCGACCCGTCCTCGTCGCCCGGTCATCGACGTCGCCGCTCGTGCTGCTCGTCCGAGCGTGAACACGTCCGATACCGCACTGCGTATCGTCGTCGTCGAACACGCAGCGTCCCTCGATATTCGACGTAAACACGGCTCGACCTTGCGTCAAGACTGTTTCTGTGTGTGATTGTTTCGCTGTTTCTCTCTGTCTCTCTCTCTCGCTCGCCGACTGTTTACCTTTTTTTCGACACTTTCGTAGAGCGCGTTCCTCTCGGAGGTCGCGAGGGAAGAAGAAAGATGTAAATTCCCCCGGCGAAACTCGGCTGACTAGATTGAATCTCGCGCGCCGAAGCGCGGCCAACTTCACGAGACACGGTCGGCGCGAGCCCGCGCGCGCGCGCGGGCGCGTGTCGCGCGTCCGCTCGCACTCTCGTCCCCGGTGACGTTGGAGCGACGCGCGAATATCCTCTCGCGGGCCTCTCCTCCCTCCTCCAGGCGCGGGGTCGGTCCGTTTGTCCTTCCTTCGATGATGGGAATTTTCCTCGCGGGATCACGCGTCGATCGACGACGCGGTCATTCTCCGATCTCCTCCTTCCGGCGTTCGATCAATCGATCGTCGCACAGTTCATGATACTCACTCGCGGGAAACATCGCCCGTAATCCTTACTGCCGACGAGCTCGCCCGCGCCTCGAAATCCGCAGCGCGACACGAGCCATAATCTCGAGGGCGACGAGGGAAGCTCGAAAATGATTTCTCGTATCTCGCTCTATTTTCCTTCCCCCTCTCGCGCACCGTCTTTCTATCTGTCTCTCTCTCTCTCTCTCTCTCTCTCTCTCTCTCTCTCTCTCTCTCTCTCTGTCTCTCTCGCTAGGATCGTCGCGATCGTCGCGAGCGAGAAATCACGGTGATCGCAGGCGATCACCGTGATTGTTCCTCGGGTATCTCGTAGGGAAGAGCGCCGCGCCCCAACCCCCCCTGTTTTTTATCCGTACGCGCGGCCCGGGACGCGTATGAAAAAAAAAAACGCAATCGCGGCAAAGCCCGGATATATCGTGAACCGTGAACCGCGGACGCGGTTTCAGCACTGACGCGGGAGCCGCGATTCGAACGACCGTTCGGCCGTGCTCGGCCGTCTCCGGCGATCCTCGGGTCTGCCCCTCACTGTCCGCCGTCACTTGCTCGTGCCGCGCGCCGATCCAGCAGCGGGGGAGAGCCGCGGAAGGGTCGAAAGAGTGGGAAGTGGGGTATACGGAAAGCGTAAACTTTTTCCCTCTCTCTTTCTCTCTGTCTTTCTTTCTTTCCCTTTTGATGTAATCGGATTCTCTCTCCCTCTCTTTCTCTCTCTCTCTCTCTCTTTCTCTTCTTTTTCTTTCTCTCTTTCCCCCTTTCTCCCTCACTTGCCGGACACCGCCAAAGTGGGAGCAACAGCTTCTCTCGAACGCGCCGCTCTAACGATACCAGTGGTTCGGATAGAAATTCCTTCCTATTTTGTAATTTTTCAACGAAAGACTATGGATTAATCAAATTTAATGAAAATAAATAATTTAACGCAAAGAGACGACTATCTTTTACTCAACATGTGTGGACATTTAAACACATTTGTTTCTTTCAGGAGTGAATGATTAAGGATGTTTTGTAGCTATTTGAAAAATATTGAGAATTTCATGAAAATTTTACAGAATGTCCTTACATATGTTTAGAATCTTCGGTACAATTTTTAAATCGATTCATTAAAGCGTTTACAAGTTATAAGGATTTTAATTTGCAACGAATTAACATGTGTTCTTATGGGAAACGTATAACCACGTCGCTTCAAATGACAAAAACACATGGAAATAATATTCAGAATTTGTTTAAAATTTGCAAAAGTTTAGATACAGAGGAAATATTTAGTCAAATAATATTATACAAATACTAACTGGTTAAAAAGATATTAAATATCATTCAATAAAGTTAGCCGTGTATCTGTCACAAGACAAAATTCTCTGCTAAAAGTTAATCATTTCGATTAACAAAATTCGGAATATTTCAATAAAAACGCAATAAATATTAAAAAATACATCTCTGCGTTGTAGTTAAGATCAAATTGTATATTCCATACAATTTCTCATATTCAAAATACACCAAAAGTGGATATTCGTCAATACTGATTTTCAGCTACTTTTTGCTGGGATTGTGCATACAAAACATCCTTAAAAAACGAAATGCAATTTTTGCGATTTTTTAGATACATACATGTATCGTTTAAAATTGCACGAATTAAGAGATATTGACTGCGAGAAACTAAAAATGACGTTTTTAATTAATGTCCAAATTTATTTATGCTTGTGTTTCATACGCATATTTTTTTAATTTTAACTAAATCGTTAATGCACAAACAGAAGACTCTTAATTAGTTGTTGTACTAGTTTCAATGTGATAAACAAAACTTAGCATTTTGTTCAAAAGTAGTAAATTAAAGATACTTTATACTTATTTTCAAAATATTGAAAATTTAATGAAAATTGTACAGAATGTCCTTACATATGTTTAGAATCTTCGGTACAATTTTTAAATTGCATCACTAAAGCGTTCACAAGTTATAAGGATTTTAATTTGCACCGAATTAACATGTGTTCTTATGGGAAACGTATAACCGTCGATTCAAATGACAAAAACACATAGAAATAATATTCAGAATTTGTTTAAAATTTGCGAAAGTTTAGATACAGACAAAATATTTGGTCAAATAATATTATACAAGTACTAACTGGTTAAAAAGATATTAAATATAATTCAATAAAGTTAGCCATGTATCTGTCACAAGGCAAAATTCTCTGCCAAAAATTAATCATTTCGATTAACAAAATTCGGAATATTTCAGTAAAGACGCAATAAATATTAAAAAATACGTCTCTGCGCTGTAGCTAAAATCAAATTGTAATATTCCACACAATTTCTCATATTCAAAATACATCAAAAGAGGATATATTCGTCAATATTGATTTTCAGCTACTTTTTGCTGGGATTGTACATACAAAACATCCTTAATTCTGCAAGATATAAAAATGTGAATACAATTTTTTTGTGATATTCTCTAAATAAATAAATCTCTCGTATTATGAAATCGTTTAAATCCATAATTAATGAACACATAATTATCAACATACTTTAATCGTGTAAAAATTATGATATAAATGATGTGTGCATTGAATAATCTTGCAGACTGCATCGCGCATCAAGATGTTGTAACATAATTCATAGGTCGCGGTGTCGATAATTATACGGATGATTCTTTCTCGCGTATATACGGTGTAACCGCTAATTTTCGCGAGAGGAGAAAACGACGACGCGTCGAAACGACCATTCCCGTATCAACGAACCCTCGAATTCGCAAGTACGCAAAAACCTAGCTGAATCACCGCGCGTCGACCTTGACGAGAGTAAAAATCTCGGATCGTGAACACGGAAGGACGAGATTCTGACCTCTCGCGACCTAATTCCACGGCATCGTCCTCGACGTGGAGAAGCTTGGGAAAGGTCGCGAACGCTGTGAAACATCATGCAAAAACCCGCCCCTGAAATGGTTCACGAATTCCGGGGGAATTTCTTCGGACAGACACGGAAGGGGGAAAAAACGGCTCTAGGATAAAAAGTCATCCATCGCGGAGGGGTCGGTGAACCCACGCGGATACATTTTAGCGAGATGAGTCCTTTACTCGTCTGCGTCTGCAACGGGGTCAATTTAAGTGTTTTACATTGCAAATTGCTACTTATTTGGAATTAACATGAGAAGAAGAAGAAGAAGTCAATTTATAACATTTTATTTCAAAGTCCACTTTTATCATTTCGTTATATTTGATGTATTATATATATATAAAACTATGAATAGCGAGTCATATTAATTGATGTTAACGAAAGAATGTAATATTCCGTGGATTTAATGGGTTATAATAAAATATTAAAAAATGTACAATTAAAAAGTACTTAAAAATTAACAATTAAACAATTAATGAAACTAGGCTGTGCTCCTTCTGAGCCTTCTTAGCCTTATACTTTTATTATTACGTTTTACCATTGACCTTGAATCGTATGTCCACTCCGCCAAGTTTGGATAAAAAGAGAAAGAGAGAATATATGAGAGGTGATGTCGCCAACCCCCGTGGTGTGGACCAATAAAAGGAGCTATAACCACAAATCTTATCGTCGGAGACGAAGAAAGACTAAAATGGGGTTGATGGTCATGGTTAGAGAGGGTCATGGAACTTCCGAACTGCTCCACTTTCTTAAATATATTACCGATAATGTTATATATATTTTCATAGGTCAGTGAAATATGAAACGAATGATGATCCGCGATGATGTCCGCAAATGTCGGTCCTGAAAAATAAATTGATATATATATATAATTTTCTATTTTTATCGCAAAATACGTAGGACATCATAACATATATATAACCTGTATAGTTGGCTAAAAAAAGACAGACATTTGCAAAATTAAAAAATATTAATATTTTTCTCTCACTTGCTAATTATATATCATAATAATTATATATCATTATTATAAGATTGCTGCAATTTTATCTAAAATTGTAAGAAAAATGATCGATTTCAAATAAATATACATATTATTAATCACGCATTCTATCTTGCATGTAGAAATTAAATATATAAATTTGACGAAGTCTTTTTTTAAAGAATCTTACAGATTTAAAGTGAAGGAGAAAGACGCTATCATACATCTCAATCTCGTTAACGAGCAATACTTAATCTCACAATCGGTGAAAAATCCAGCCGTGTTGTGCGTTCATTCACTGGCCATTAATAGGTACTCTATCCTTGCTCCTCCTCGAAGAAAAGAGCTACGAAAACGCGAACGACGTTGTCGACCCCCGCGGAGAGTGCCCCAAAAACAAGCTATAACCACAAATCTTATTGCCGAAGGGTAGGGCAGAGAAGAAGAAGACCTCAAGGGGGGTTGCTGGTTAGGTTAAAGGGGGAGTTCGTTCCACCTTCCGAGCTACCTAACAAGTAGCTTGTAAGAAGAGCCGTTTCGCCCGGTGATTCGTGCTCGTAGAGCTGCTGCCGCTGCCCCGGGGAAAAACTGCGACACGGTTTTTCGGCCAATGGGGTTCTTCCTCGAAGTTCAAGGCCATTCTCAAAGATAGCTATGGTATAGAGGAGAGGAGAGAGGGGGATAGGAGGGGGGAAGCTTTTTTGTTTTCCATGCTCTGGCACAGCTATGAGGGCGACCGACAGACCGACAGACCGACCCCGCTACTGCCCGGCTCTACGTTTCGCTCTTCACTGGCGCCAGACCGTTTTTTGACAATTGCCCGTTCTCTGCAATGACAGATCAACGAATTTTAATGTATACACATTTTTTGAAAGATTAGAACCACAAGTTTAGAAGAATTTTGTACCTGCCGAATCGTAGATCGCTTAAATGATTCATGAATGGTGTATTCGACTAAGTCGGAGACACGCACAGTTTGCAGGAAGATAAAGAAAATTACTATAGCTGATGAATATTAATGTAAAGGATTAAAATTGTAATTGAAATAACGTTATAATTAAATACAAAATTGTTATTAATATGTTGTATATGGATTAGTTCATACAAATTTTTGAGCTATTAACACACAGTGAAACATACATCAATCATGTTTTTAATTTCTTTTCCACCTATAATTTTTATAACAAATTAACTTTTGATAGAACTTAATTATATTTTACAAATTTAAAATTATATATATATATCTTATATTATTATATTATCATGGGAAATAAATCTTCTTAGTTCAATTGAATGGAAACTTTTCTTTGTGAGTCTTATTTCTCAAA